GCTTATTAGTACGGTTGAACTGGATCATCGAAGGTCAGAAGCAAAGACATTGGTTAATAGAATGGGATTAAATACATAAAAGGATATTTGTGTTGTTTAACATTTAATTATTGCAGGTTTCATATTCTGAGTTGCATTATTTTTATTCATTTTGAGGAATACTGAATCTGTGTTTTTATTTATTTTTTTGTGAGTGAGATTAATTAGTGCATATTCATATTTATTTTAGAATTACAGTAACGTCTTCTGATTTCTCTCAACATGGGGACAGGAGAGCTGTCAATCAAATTGGAAAAAAAAGTAACTTGCATTACTTATTTGAAAAAGTAACTCAGATATTCTCTTGTAAATTAAAAAGTAATGCGTTACTTTACTAGTTACTTGAAGAAAGTAATCTTATTACGTAACTCGCGTTACTTGTAATGCGTTACCCTCAACACTGATAAATAGCCATTCACTTTATTACATCAAAGAGAGACGCCTGGACACTCAACATAATTTCTTATTTTGTGTACCAGGGATGAAAGAAACTAATATTGGCTTGAGCGACATCATGTTGAGTAAATTATGGCATTATTTTCATTTTGGGTGAACTAATCCCTTAATCCTGTTCTGTACACACAGAGTTTGTTTATTAGTGACAACTAATGACGCATTAAAAATGGCCAGACACGAATACATCTCAGTACGCTAATATTAGTTTGCGGAAAAATAGAAAACACTAAACAGGCTAAACTGCTGGCATGTATCTTTACAGCTGTGAGACATTAACTATTGCTTGCTTGGAATGGTAGGATTGACACTTGAATTCCTTACACAAATGGAGCGATAATTGAGCTATTCATTCCTTCAAATAAATGCATTTGTCACTTCAAAAACTTGGCAGTGTGAACGTGGCCTGTATGCATTCATACCTTTTGTCCCCCGTTAGTGAGGAACAACATTAAAAGTGACGATTGGGTCTAAATCCCTGAAAACCTCTTCACATTGAATATAAATATAGCATGCTTTACATTAGCTTTAGCTGTGCTAGCATAGTGCTAAATGGGATTATGTAAAATACTACAGTGTATTTGCAATGTACAACATAATTGGCTTTGAATCCATTTCAACAATCCATTTCTTTATCATGTCATGAGTGTGCTGCCAAGCTACGTGCTAACTTGCCATATGGATGAGACACTACAGATGTTGCCACCAAAGACAAATAGACAATTCCACAAACAAGTTGGCTCATTCTTAAGCTGACGTATTGTGTTAATAAGTTCACATTTAGTTATTATTCTGGTTAAGTACATGTTAGCAAAACTCATGAAAGAACACACCACGAAATGAAAGTTCCACTTGCTGAGTAACAAATCGTATGGACTGCAAAGCCCTTTGGCCCATATTCCTAAGCCTCTCTCTCTTCTCACCTGTTCTGGTTCAAGAGGTCAGGTTAATGAGATTTGGTGTGTGTATATCTGCGTATGTCTGTACAGGAGTTTATATGTGAAAGAGAGAATGGCAAGTCACAGTATAAGACAATGTTTAAGAGTCATCGAGCCATGTCAAATGGCTCCAGAAGAATACCCAGAATGCACAAGTCTGCACTCGGTCCTCCAATAAAGTTGGTGATTCTGTGCAAAAGAAGTTCGCCTAGTTAACCAACCAAGTGAACCTCCACCAAGCCATCAACAATTGATCTACATCCAGAGTTACTGAAGATGCTTGTTCAGTCACCATTGAGAAGTCAAAGATGAGTTGTTGATGGCATGGGTTGCCTGGCACTGAGAATGGTGATCGGATGCAAGGTGCTGAAAAGGTGGAGTGTTGTTCCACTTCATCTTGTCCCACTCATACGGGAGTGTTACGTTTGAGATCACTGGGTGAGGGGGGGATCTGTTGACTGAGGTGTGTGAAGGTGGTTGAGTGACTAGGTCTGGTCTTCGTCTCCTCAGAAGTCTCTGCGCCTCTATACTTCGGAGGAAGAGTCTGGCATCGGGCCTTAACTTTCGAGCCTGGATCAGGAGGTGGAAGCCCTTTCGTTGCGCTTCCCATCAGCTCTGGTTTGGAGGGAGGCCGTGGTAGTCCTGTTGACTGGCTGCCCACAAGCTCTGGTTTCGAAGGAGGACGTGGCAAGACTGTCGAAAGGCTGCTAGCAAGCTCCGGTCTGGATGGCGAGCGAGGGAGCGAGATGGAATGGCTGCTTGTGAGCTCTGAATCCAGTGAATCTGAGACAGACATTTGGCTTTCAGAGGGCTTGGTTTTAGATGGTCCTCTAGAGACCATTCGGCTGAGCTCACTAGAGGATGGAGGAACTTTCTGGTCAAGATGTGTGAATGTTGTCGAGTGGCTAGGTCTGGTTACATGCGCTTCAGCTTCAGGTCCTCTGTGCCTTGACGGAAGAGTTTGGCAACGGCTCTTAGCTCTAGAACTTGGGTCTCGAGGTGGAGGTTCATTCGAGTCGAACTCTCGGTGCCGTGATAGTGAGCCGGTTTTGATTGAATGAATGGACTGGTTTGAACATGCTAAAGGTGTGGTGGGTGATTCATCATGACAGGCTACCTTAGACAGGGACTCTGAAGTTGTATTGAGACTTTCACAGGTCGAAGGTTGAGGCCTATCAGGCAGATCACTGGTGGATGCGATGGGTTCCTCTGCTGATTGTTCCTCAAGCTCTTCCTCCTCTCCGTTGGTCACCTGTAGTTCTTTCAGCTCTTCATCTGACTGGCTTAGCAATACCCCACTGCAGACAGGCAGCTCCTCCGATGATCCTTCCCCTAGACACTTGATGACGACATCATTGTTAGTAGTTGTCAATGGGTGTGACTGGGTGCATTGCTTGTCTGCCTCCTCGGTGAGCAGAAGATCCATCATGAGTGCTTTTTCTCTCTTCAACTGCTCCTTCAGAGAACGAGGCACATCTGGGATCAACCATGCCACCAGCATACTGAGGAACATGGCCAAGTTCTACAACACAACAACATACAGAATCAAACATCCAGTCCTATTTTATAGGAATATTCTGGGTTAAATACAACTTAAGATTCAAGTAATTTGGATTTGTTTCTCAGTTTGCAAGAACATAAGAAAACCCTTGTACAATAATGCACTTTTAAAGTGGAAGTTTGTGGGCAGTGTTAATCTTGTCAATGAAATGTTTGCTAACCAAGGTTTTTTTTTTCCATCAACAATATCAAAGTAAAACATTAATTAAAACATGTTTTTTTGCAGGTTTTATGCTGATAAATCTAATGTTGAACATGGGAATTAATAAATGTTTATATATTTTTCAAATATTTGGTCTATTGTAGTTTGACACATTTTTGTTATTTTGCATATTATTGTCAAAAAATGCCATTAACAAAAAATATGTGCCTTTTTAAGAAAATAAAAATAAGAAGATGGATTAAAATGTATGCATATTAAATGACGAAATATTGATTTAATTTAAAGGACATTTTTATCATAAGACAATTCCAAATGATTGAGACGAAAACTGTGTAAAATGATCACTGCCTATGGGGCATGTTGGATTTAAAACTGAATCATGCAGCATTATTTATTCATTAATTTAGTTAGCTTTATTTATACTTGGCTATACTGCAATTATATGAATTCTTCATTAAGAATTTTTATAATACATATACTGTATACAGTACATATTAGGTGGATTCATTTCTGGTTAAGCATTTATTTATGTAAATACCATTTGTGGAATTTGCTCTATATGCATATGGATTTCTTAAATTAGCATGTTCATCTAATCTGTCAATCAAATTTAAGGTTAATAGGCCACTGCTGCTTTTATCACTTAGGTGACAGTTCTTCCGGCATCCCCCACCTCCGCTTTATATCTAATATTTCAGCTATATTTTAATCTCCTACTAGAAGTACAAAGGAGGGGAATTTAAAGCTTGAGCCCCCTCAATGTAGAATGAAAGCTAAATCTGCTTGCCTTTATCATGCAAAGATTATATTGACAAATGAAGTCATTAAAATGCTTTAGAGATATTTACATTACAACCCTTCTTTGTATCATTGCATGGATATCATGTAAATGAGACCGGGATGACATGGCCATGACTTTATTATTTTTTTAATGGTAGAGAGAGCTTAAGTTGTATTTAACTTGCAGTGTTCATTGAACAACAAGAAAAGCAGTTTAACAAATACTGACCTGGAAAAAAATGACAAAAGCCAGGCGTGCAGCGAGCACAGACCAGTACTGCTTAGAAAGCTGGTAAGCTTCAGGAGACCAAGGTGGATCTCGATAGTCTTTGTACCTGTGAAGATGAATTGTTGAGGAGAAAGAACAAATGGTATCAGATCATATAGGCTAGCAGAGTTCATGAGTATGAGTGTGTTGCATGTGTGTCGTGTGTACCTGCAAATACGGAGTTGTCTGTCAAAGTCGGTGTCATGCGGGGCAGTGCCAGGTTTAAAGTTCCTTGTGTTGAAATAAGCCAGTGTGTGGTTGGTATAACCATGCATGGTGCCTGTCTCACTGTACAAATACTGATACACCATCCGAGGAATGAATTCAGATGTAAAGGAGATCACAAATGCCTTGGAGGAAAGAGAGACAGAAAGAAGAAAAACCTTAAAATATCTGCGCGCAATGAGATAAATCATACTAAACACAGCCAGCAACAAGTCAGAATCTTAACACTCACATTTGTAATGACAGCAAACTTGCTGATTCCACTCAAGATGTTGTACCATATGCCTGGGAAAGGGAAGATAAATATGTGACAGTGTGAACTAGATTAAATAACAGTTATGTTAAGTGTAACCATGAGTAAGTCTGTGCATATTTGCTGCAAAAATTCATACCAATCTCTTTAGCACTGACTGCATCAGGTCTGCGTATTTCAGTGACGAATTTTGCCGCATCTAGTCGGATTTCAATGACATTATTGAGCAGAGCGAAGACTGGTGCCAGCGGGAAGGAGGCCACAAAAAGTGTGACGAATCCATACTGAATAACTGCAGACAAACAAACACACACATACACAAATGTCCTTAATCAAACCCAATTCCTCAAAGTCATCGCAGACATCCTTAAACACCATCGCTAAACCTCTTCAAAGGAAAAACTAATAATAGAGTGTATAGAGCAGATGTTGGCATCCATTTTGATATTTTTTATATTTCTTGTTAATCACCAATCCACTAGTGCTTCCCATACGGCGGTTTGACTACAGTGAAGGATTACTGCAAGAGTTACGTACGTTACTTGCCATGCAGATTTGGGGATTTCAAAATGAACAACTAAATAAAATAATACATGTAATATTCCTCTTTCTTTGTGACAGAAGGTTACCGACCACTGTCGGAGTCTCTGAAGTTGTAGTTGTAGTAGAACTTGTGATAAATAGTAAAGCAAAGAAATCAAGTGACCCACAGAATCGGCTCAGTGGTAACTGCTAATCAACATGACTGATCCAGTCTACAACTACAGGGTTAACCCGATTGACATTTATTTACATCTGTCATAGGTCATTGTCAATATGATACTGTTGTATTGATTCCTTCACCCAAGCTGTGTCTATGCTCTCTCCATATCACAAAGCTTAAGGTCTCTTCACACCAACCCAAACAAATATTTGATCCGGTTTTCAAATTGTCTGCTCAGACCAAGGCATTAAAAACAACTGATGGTCTAAATGAAAATGGACAGATCCACTCCCATAGGGTAGAATCAACAACCTTTAAGCCGTAAGTTAGGGGAAAGGATTCCGACAGCTGGATTGCTCACCATCAGATTCTGTTCCCCCCATGTTTCTTATACAAGGAGGTTCTAATATTTATCAAACTGATACTGGTTAAGATCCTTCCTCATACAGGATAGAATCAACAACTACATCAACATCTCTCACCCTGGAGTTGGGGGAACAGATTCCAACAGATGGATTGCTCCCCAATATTTCCTATACTAGGAGGTTCTAATGTTTCTGAACAAGATACTGGTTAAGATCCATCCCCATATGGAATAGATTCAACAGTTTTTAAGCATCTACAGGTGCATCTCAATAAATTAGAATGTTGTGGAAAAGTTCATTTATTTCAGTTCTCTCCATAGTGGTGGGGGAACAGATTCCGATAGCTGGATTGCTCACTGTCGGATTCTGTTTCCCCCATGTGTCTAATACAAGGAGGTTCGCTTAGCAAAATACATCAAGTAGTGGTTTTATGCAACAGCAGTTCACAAAGGTAATCACAAATCTTATTTCAAAAATATGCAAAAATGCTGCTGGGGTATAAAGTCCATAAATCGGTGCTCTTTGTATGCAGGATTTCTAAATTCATCCAAAAACGAATCACTTCAAGGCACTCGAAATTATAGTGAAAAATTAAATAGCCTTTATTCACATGAAGTGATTCGTTTTTTGCACAAATCTTATTGGCTGGCCAACATTTTTCATAGTGTGATAGAAAATTTATTTGAAACCCCTCGTTTAAAAAAAAAAATGTTTGTGATGGTCTGAACATATGAATTAATCATTTATTCAAATTAAATTATTTATTTTTACAGAACATTTGTATTGGTGTGAATGTCTTTATTTTAAAGGTGCCTACTTATAAATTTTTTTTTTAATGTAATTTAATAAGAGCCAGATCTTGCTTTCAAGATCGATCATTTCTAAACAAAATTTAGACACAACACAGCTTCTTAGTTAACTACTTGTCCAGGTAGAGTGCAAAGCCTAAAATGAATTATGATTGGTCAATAGCAGCCAGAGACGAAGTACATCATGGTGATGTCAAATGCCTAACAATTATATTGTAAGTTATTTCATTATTACAGCTATTAAAGCCAACTTTAAACAGCATTCACATTGTCCTTTCAAAATGTAATGGAGCAAATCATACATTTTGAAGAAATCTTTGGAAAAAACATAACATAATGAAAATAAGACCAGGAATGTATATATAAAAAAATCTAATTTTAGTTGATAAAATATAAAGAGCAATTCTAGAAAAAAAAAAAGGTCAAGCCACAACACTATCATTAAACAGTCAAATAAGGCTTTCTAATTGCTACAAAGCACATAGTAATGATGTTTTTGGGGTTGTAAGGTACTTAAAAACAAGTAGAACAATGAAAGCGATGCACCAAACGTTGCTGACATTTGAGTCTATTGTTCAATTTGAGCATGTGGTACTCACCCATCTCCATGTACTCTGGGCTCAATCCTTCATATGGCTCCAGATCATAGTCCAAATCCCAGCGCTGTGGTTCTCGTTTCGAATCTTTGTCCTCCTCATCTGCCGATCCATCTTTCTCCTCCTTATATGTGCGATACATCTTCTTCAGCTTTCTGTAATGTCAACAGATTTGGCCGTGTTATTTTAAACACCTCTTCCATCACTCACTGTGCACTGTGTTGGTAATGTTAAACAGTGTGGAGAATTAAAATTTAATTTAACAAGAGAGTTAGGGGCTTCCTCTAATAGACTGGGGGTACATTGCAGAATCAAAGAAAATTAGCAGAGGGACCACGGGGAAGACTTTGCATGTGTGTATGTGTGTGTAAAACACTTACGGAATGGCAATTTCAAACACATTATTCTGAATGAGCTGCTTTCCCAACATAATGATTCCAAGCTGAATACACACTTCAATAAGACAACCACCTGGAGAACACTAGACCAAAAACACATGTACATGTAAACTGTTAGTTACACTATGCTAAAACACTGAAGACAAACATATAATCATTTTAATAATTACCTCTTCCATGCGGAAATCCTTAAAGACATAAACATAGTCACCCGGGCGACCGGCAAACCTAAATTAGCATACCAGAGTTATGAGAGATATTTAACAAAAACGTCAATTGGATTAAACAATGTAACCCAGAAATTCAGCATTTTGGTGCTAGACTCTAAAGCATACTACACAGTGACACATTATATTGTAAACTACAACATAATAGTGTACTGTTCAGCAACACAACACAGACACCACAAAACAGGTTGTTATAGAACTGTAATTTGCATATGGAAATTTAGACATGAACTCTCCAAAAAAGTAATACATTAATAAAACATGTTAAAAATTGTTTCAATTGTGTAAAAAAAGTGGTAAAAAATTATTTAGGGAAAAATGCATTCTTTCAAATGTACAACATGGGGCTTGTATACAATAATTATATAAAAGAGCATATTATATGAATTATTATATGAATAATATATATATATATATATATAGTAAAAAATTTTAATAGAAAATATAAAAAGATAGAAAATTACTCTAGGGTATCATATTTTGGCTTTAGAATGCACCTTACAATAAAAACCCAGTAGTTAACGTTAGTTAATGCATTAACTAACAAAGAGCAATACATTTGTTACAGTATTCATTCATGTTAATAATTATGTTTTTTTTTACTAGTTAGGTCCATTAAATAATTAACAAATACAACATTTTTTTCAGTTGTAAATACAATGGACTGATTTGTTTAATATATTATGTATATGTTGAAATACATAATACTAAGAAAATAAGTTACACTTTATTTTAAGGTGTCCTTGTTACAGTGTAATTATACGTTTAAGTATTGAGTAATATTAATTAACTACATGTACTTACTATATGGTTAGGGTTTGGTTTAGGGTTACTTGCATGTAATTATGCATAATTTATTGTTATTATAATAGTAAGTACATGTAACATGTGTAACAAGGACATCTTAAAATAAAGTGTTACCCTAAGTTATGTTTCATTGTTGGTTCATGTTAACGGATGTTAACAAATGGAACCTTACTGTAAAAGTTTAACAATATTTTTTGTTTCTCAGCGTTGCATGATTTTAGGTTAAAGGGGTCATATGATGCGATTAAAATTTTTTCTTTCTCTTTTTGTGTGTTACAAGCTCTTGGTGCATAAAGAAGATCTGTAAAGTCGCAAAGACTAAAGTCGCACGCCTGCCGCCACTCACTCAAACCGGCCTCCGCTCACTCTAGCCCGCCGTGTGTGACGTTGTGAAAGCGAAACTACTTTGTTTGGCCTTCCAAAAGAGGACACGACTAGAAATCAGTGGTTAAGTTGTATTTACAACACTGTTCCAGAACAGTTCAACCCAAATATTCAGATGTGTGCAGCGCATTTTATGGAGGACTGTTT